TTCCTTTGCAGAAGAAGATATTTGAAGAGAAAGGATAATAAGATAGGCTTCAGACACAATAAATTAAATCCCTGCCTACACGGAATTTCTATTCATAATCCCTTTGAAGAACTATGAGTATACACACGTATATATGTATATTTGTGTTTGTGTGCAATGATATAATATGATATAAGAATATATATATATAATTCACTAAGTGGAAAAACCTGAATCTGACCCTTTTCATAATGGTGCATAGCCATGACAAATTTTCTCTTTTTTTTTTTGACAAATTTTCTATAAACCTTACAAGCTAGTATTTCTACAAGACATGAGTGGGACCCTTTGTTTTAAAGCATTTATCTTTTTTCTTCTCTATCATCTTTCTGAGCTCCTCTAAATTCAGGTCTTCAGGATTAAGCAGTTAGAGAATCAATGTCGATGTTCACCAGCAAGGGCCAGCTTAATGGGTGCACACTGGTCCACAGTCTTCAACAATCAACCATTGATTGATTTTCCTGGTCCACAAAAATGCAAAGTCTTCTCAGTGTGGAGTGTTCATTGTTACTGTCGTTGCTTAGAACTGGGACTGAATCCATGGCTTTACACCGAGCTACATCCCCAGATTCTTTTTACTGTTTATTTTGAGATAAGATTTCATTAAGTTGACAAGGCTGTGCAGGAAGTTATGATTCTGCTTCAGTCCCCCAGAGTGATAGGACTATGGGCCTGTTATCACCACCACTTCAGTTTGGAGTTCCTAAACCAGAATTTATCATTTTAAAAATTGCAAATGGGGAAGGAAAGACAGGAAAGGGGAAGCATGAAAATGAAGGAATGTGAATAATCTTTTAGTTTTATGTATTAGTATGCTTGTTTCTGTACCAAAAATCAAACTCAGGACCTTGCAATTGCCAGCCATGCACTTGTGTCACTGGGCTATGTCCCTAGAAATCTCTTAGCTTTAAAGATAAAACCAAATGGCAGTTGATATCTCACACCCACAAGAGAAGATAACTACATTAACTTAACAGTAGAGAAACACTTAGGAAGGAATAATTTTGTCTATAGAGTAGAATTTTCTGAAACCTAAGAGAGAAGTGCTTGATTCTATATTCTTATAAGAAGAAAACATAGAGCTAATCACCCATGAGACCTTGGAATGGAAACATTCAGAATGGCATGCCATTCCCAGCAATCAGTTTCCTACTTAGCTCTCTTTGTTGTATATAAAAATAGCCCACTTTGGGCTTGGAAGTAGCTACCATGAACATAGGCCTGGTGTTCAATCCCCAGCATCACAAAAAGAACAAAAAGAGATGTATGAGAGTATTTTAGGAGAAATTAGGCAAGAAGAGGAAAGAAGATCCCAGATTTGATTCCTACTTTGGTAATTTAGAGAGATCCTGTCTCAAAATTTAAAAAAAAAAAAAAAATTAAGGGAATGGTGGTAAAGATACAGATCAGGTAGATAGTCTTGGTTTTGAGCCTGAGAACAACCACAACAAAAAACATTCTCATTCTTTCTGGGGCAGGAGATTAGGGCCTGGCAAAATGGCTGGGCAGACAGACCCGAGCTGTCAGTCATGACGACTCAGGACACACGGACAGAGCAGCTTACCTGTGCCTGGTACCAATCAGAGAATGCTATCTTCAATTCTCCTGGTATAAGATCAGACAGGTTTTTGATTGGACGGCCAAGATCTGACTTCGGAATTGGGGAATAAAAGATGGCAGCCATTGGCCTGAGGGCTTCTGCCTCCTTCTCAGTGGCCCATTCTGCAGGCAGGGCACATTTCTTTCCTACTTTAACTGCCCTGCAATCACTCTGAAAGCACCTTTTTCTGAAGAGTATCAGCTCTTTTTTTTTTCTCTTCATATTCCCTTTAATACCTTTAATAGATGTAAAATGGCACCACATCATTTCCTGTGTAATTGTTTTGCTCAAGATAACAGGCATCTGGAAGGGATCCCTGAGAAGGAGCCCACAGTATCCTGCAACCTCATTATAAGATTTCCACATGGCATGGGTTCTGAAGAGCCTCAGTTTCCAGAAAAATCTTCATGTCTGTGAGAATCCTTGGTTATTTTTGCTATCTTTCAGAGACTTCATTTTATCTTTTAATTAGTACATGTTTGAGAAAGATCCAGGGCAGGGAGTTGATATATATGAATATTGAATCTTAATCCTTTATACTCTCCTTTCCCCTTCTCCTCCTTCTGTCTCCCTCCACTGAACAAAAGTATATTTGTTTGCTTCATTATCAACATTAACTGTTCAAAAAATGATCATGCCTTTATAACTGACTTTCAATGCAAACAGATTATTCTCATTGATTATGAAGAGAATTCAGCATTTAAGTTTCTAACAGACTAGGAATACAACTTGTTCACTCAATATGAACTGTTTAATGGCAAAAAAAAAAAAAAAAAAAAAAAAAAAAAA